CTATTAATGACTATTAAAGTTATTACTATTAGTTAATGGTTAATAGTTATTGGTTAATATTTATTAACTATTAAAGGTGCTTTAAAGCCCTACATATCACAGGGCCAGGTTACTTGAGGGACCACCTCTCCCTGAGAGTATTTGCCCATTCTACTAGGTTAGATAGTGTGGGCGCACTCCAGGTCCCCTCCCTTAAACGTTGCCACCCGATGGGACCTCAGAAATGTGCCTTCTCAGTGGTTGCCCCAGACCTTTGGAACAGCCTCCCACCTGAGATCTAAGGGATCCCTACCCTTTTAGCATTCTGGTGGGCTTTGAAGACCTAGCTCTTCCCCCAAGCATTGGGCTAGGATGGGGGTTGAGCTGTGAGGATGTCTGGTCTGGTATCTGGGGGAAAGAGTACTCTTGTTTTTAACCATGTTTTTATTGATTGTTGTGAGCTGCCTAGGGTCACTGTATAAGATAGGCGGACATATAAGTCCTGTAAATAAATAAAATAAATAAATAAATGTGACTCCAGACCAAATGATGCATGTCAGGGACACAAAGGTTCTTCTTGGATGTCTCCAGAGTATTTGGAATCTATCAAGGATGAGGGGGATGGCTTTAATACTTATTACAGAGTTTTGGAAGGATAAATCTATACTTCATTTTTAGAAACAGATTGTTATGATGTATTGTCAACATTTGATTTGAATTTTGGGGGTGGGCAAGGAGATAAGAATGAAAGAGGACTATTTGGTCAATTTTTTTTGAAGCTATTGATTTAATATAATTATCCAATTTGTTTTTCTTCTTAGTTACATTACCTCAGTAACAGTTAAATATACATTTTTCCTGTGAGTTTAATATAATTGTTTTCTAAAGGAAAGCTACCCATACTCACTTACAAATACAATGGCCATTACCTGACATGTAAATTATTTTATAAGAACAGCCCTGCTGGGCAAAGCTAGAGGTATAGTCCAATACAGCCTCCATGAAGCCCTTCTAACAGGAATGTCCATGGGAAAGGGAGTTAAAACACACACACACACACACACACACACACACGGCAGCCATGCACATTAAAAAGTGGTGCAACTTTGATTACATGGGTTGAAGCTTTCGACTTCTTTGATACCCCTGCCATCTAAGCTAGCAACTATCACTATTTATTCTGGCAATGAATTCCAAAAGCGAAATCTGTTCTACATGAAGAAGTGTTTCATCCCCTGCCAATTAATTTCATTAAATTATTTTTCTCTTAACACTATTTCATGTTCTCCCTTTCACCTGACTACTGTGCTTCAAAATGCTCAATTTTCCTCACATTGGAAAGTATTTGAAACCCATGTTCATTGCAGCTGCTCTTTTTAAATTGTCTTCCAGCTCCATCTTCTTGTGAGAAAAGGCTGGAATGTTTGGGACTCTTTCAATTAGAAAAAAAGAAAATGAAAAAACAAACAACGATTAAGGTGTTTAAAACCATGTGGGGCATGGAGAAAGTGGTCAGGGAGAAGTTTTTCTCCCTTTCTTAAAGCATAAAGACCAGGGCTTATCCAATAAAGCTGACTGGAAGGAATTTTAGGACAGACAAAAGGAGTAACACTTCATACAGCACATATATTATGAACATGGTGAGGACCACTAATTTGGATGGCTTTAATAAGGGAATGGATATCATGGAGAACTCACCCATCAAGGGCAATTAGTGTTGAGGACTCAGTGTTACTGAGGCTGCATACAAGGGAGGGATATGTCTCCAACACCTACTTGTGAGAAACAAAAGGGGCCTTGGCCTGATCCTGCAGGGCTGGTCTGATGTTCTCATCATAACCTTATTGTAAGCTTGTAGGTTAGAGACGATCCCTGTGTTGGTGTGGTACCTTGCATCCTATTGCAGAGATTCACTGCAACTCCCAAGGGACTACTTTGATGGGGAGCAAAATCACCCCCAGTCCAATGCCTGTTTTCATTCTCTCCTCTGTACTAACTTCAGTTGTTGAAGTTCAAATGCTACTGTCTTTAGCAGTTACAGTACCTTCTGAATCACTTTTTTCAACTTCAGCCAACTCAATCCTGACAAGGCTATCAGTAGTTACCAGTCTTAATAGTTGTATGCTATCTCCCAAATGCTATGAATACATGTCTTTCTCTGCCTATGGTAAATTAGTTGGTGATCTGGCGGAAGAACCTTTATCCTCTAAGGCAAAATATCTCATAAAAATATTTGTAAATATGGTTAAAAACTAAATAAGTTACAGCCACTCCTTGTTTAGTGACTACCATTTGCAAATATGACAATGATAAATGGTAATAAAAAATTCAATTTCTGATCAATGGGCACATTTATGACCAAATTTCATGCACCTGACAACAAAAGCCTTCAGTGTGAAACTAATTAAAGTTTGGTCAGTTTCAGGCAGCAGTCCTGTTGTAATTAACTAATTAAGGTCACAGCTGAGCTTGTTAATTTGCAGTTAGCACTTTTTAGGGAAGTGCTTGTGGAAAAAAGCAGCTCAGAAAGAGTTGGCATGTTCAAGCAACCTCTCCGCCCTGCAAGGAGGCAAAAAAGGGGGGGGAATGGGTCAGGCACAGGACACTGTACAAAGAACTTTATCTGACAGCATCTCTCTGTCATGTGTTTGCTTAGTGACTATTTCACTTAATGACAAAGTCGCTGGAACAGATTGCAGTTACTAAACAAGGAGAGGGTGCAATAGTTTTGTTCAAGCAACATGATTTTTAGCCACCTGGAAAGGCAGAAAGTGGTTGTTTGATTTTTTTAAAAAAAACAGTGACATCTCATTGAAATTAAAGGGTATCAGAGTATAACCTGACTTAGCTGTAAGGTAGAGGAAGTGCCAATGGAATAGAAGAGAAGGCCATGGACAAAAACAGGGTGTAGCAAAGTTGAAGTTTCCTTGTTATCAGCATCTTTTGCTTGTAAAGGAACTCAAGTACTTTATAATGATCACTTCCTAATTGCCCCTTTTCAATATTTCAGCTTCAGTATCTGCTTCATTGATACTTTCAAGCACTTTGCATATCTATTGCTTTAAATGTTTACCAAGTATTTTTTTAGCCTCTAAATATTTTGAAAACAGCTTCAAGAAAAAATGTAGATAACATGAAGGGCCACACAATTGGTATGTTCTGTGGCACGACCCCAAGTATACAGGTACAATTACCTGGGTTGAAGCAGTCCTTCTTCAACACCCCAGGCCAACTCTTTCACTGCATTACTGATCTCCTGTCTTGATGTGTATGCAAAGCCAATGTTCAAGAAATACCTTTGAATATGACAAAAAAAAATAATTATGCACTGTGTGCAGGAAGCAGACTGAGGAACAAAGGAATAATCTACCCAGTAGGAAGAGTGACATTGTACAGAAGAGACCAACCTTGTCCCATCTATCAGTCAGTGAACAAACAAATCCATGGACCTTACTTTTCCTGCCTCTGCCAGGAAGGGGCCATTGAGAACTTGAGGCAGAGTTCACACACTGCATTAAGCCATATGCTTAACATGGTTATTGAACAAACCCACACTTCATTGGGTTCATTCAATACATTAAACCACATTCTACGTTTTACAAGCATGACCAGGTTTCCACAGCACTCTAAGTCAAAGTAAACAAATCATATCATGGCTACTGAACAAGCAAACCCAGCCTGTAATCAAGATCCAGTGCTTTAACTTTTCATTCATTCATTCATTCATTCTATTTACATACAGTGGGGCAAAAAAGTATTTAGTCAGCCACCAATTGTGCAAGTTCTCCCACTTAAAAAGATGAGAGAGGCCTGTAATTTTCACCATAGGTAT